AAACCCAGTGGGGGTCACTAGAGTCAGAATTGACTCAATGGCAGTTTTTTTTTTTTTAAACTCAGTTACATTAATTACATTAATCATGTTGTGCAATCCTGACCACCCTGTTTCTAAACTTTTCATCCCTCTTCACAGAAGCTCAGCCCCCCCCCAAGTAATACTTCCTCATCCCGCCCCCTGCCCCGAAAATCACTAAAACTTTGTGCTCTCTACGCATCTGCCTGTTCCAGATAGTTCATAGAAGTGGATTCACACGATACTTGTCTTTTTGTATCTGACAGTTCACTCAGCTCATCGTTGTTGAGGTCCATCCCCCTTGTTACAGGTATTGTAACTTCATTTCTCTTTAGGGTTGAACAGTAGCAAACTCTTCAACACTTAACAAAACCGAGCAACTGCAGCCAGTGTCTTTGTTTTAAAGGGTCAAACCTGCCTAACCCCACCAACTGTCGTACCTCAGTTTCTTCAGGTCTGTCACCCATCTGTCTCCCATTCTCTTCCGGTAGTTTATCTCCTCTTCTTCCTCGATGATCTCCTGGATCCTATGCTTCACATCTGGGTCTTTCACAACCACAAAGGTCCAAGGCTCAGTGTGGGCTCCACTTGGGGCTGTTCCTAAAAAACCCAAACCAAACACACTGCCATCAAATCGATTCCGACTCATAGCGGTGCTACTGTAAGACGGAGTAGAACTGTCCCATAGGGTTTCCAAGGCTGTAAATTTTGATGGAAGCAGACTGTTTCATCTCTCTGCCATGGAGCAGCTGGTGGGTTCAAACTACCAACGTTTTGGCCAGCAGTTGCATGCTTTAACCATGATGCCCTCAGAGCTCCTATCACCCATTATTTGTCATAAAATTAAGACTGCAGGAAACTAGGGCAATATGAAATAAGAATAAATCCAAAACTCCAAACGTGCTCACGGTGAAGGTAGGTCATCTAGGAAACAAAGTGCTTGGCAGATGACTCTGACACTGTTGCTGATTCCAGTCTGGTCATCAGTGTAGGTATCCGAACCAACTCACTGAGATCAAGGTCAGTAGCTCAAGGGCTCTGAGAATTTACCACAACATTTCTAATCATGTGGGAGAAGACACTAAGGGAACTCAAAGGAGACATTTCTCACAGCAAGCATTCTCCAAAGTGCCATTTGTTTTGATGTTCTTGAAAAAGGATAAATTCATGAAGCTTATTAGAATGGCAAAATTAAATCCTGAAATGGTTTTGAAAATACTGTTCAAAAGACAACTAAACAGCAAACTATTTAGTGCCTATACCTAAAGCTCTGAATGTATCACTATGGACAATTTCAACTTTGAAGTGGTTTGTGGTCTCATTGAGACACAAGAAAACTCTTTGTCCTGGACACTAAACACGCACAGCATTGTGTCTTCCCACTCTCTCAGGCTTCCAGAGCCCTCAGCCATCCTTGAGTCAGTTCCAGGTCCCAGGACCAAGCTTCATAGTATATAAGGGACTCACAATGAACCCAAATTCCCTTTGAGATTCCAGTCAGCTTCTGACCAAAGTGTCATCCCTTAGTCCCAAAGATGGCCCACCATTCTCAGGGGTGGACCACAATGACCATTTGTAGGATAAACAAAAACTGACTCTTCCTTCCTAGTGAGTGATATAAGGGCATAAGCTCTGCCTGTGAAGAGAGTCAGTCCCGCTTACTACTGATGCGGTTCTTGTTTGCACAAACCACTGCCCATGATAGAGAAGACATAACTGGCTTGTGAAACACAGGTTGAAAACTAACCACCTATTCTTAGCAGAATGATCCCAGTTCACTTCGTACCCATGCTATTTGTTCACTGAATATTGGTATTTCTAAACATTAGAATTAAATTGTGTATCTACCTAACGTTTTCAATTATGCAAGATTTACCTGAACATCACACATGCACACACACATGAAATTTAATATCAGCTATTAGATAAAAGCCTCAGAAGAAAGACTGGGCAATCTACTTCTGTAGAGATGCCACCTTGGAAACCCAAAGAGAGATTGCTTGAGTCAAATCGATTCGATGGCAGTGAGTTTCCTTTTGGTTTTATTAGATAAAAGACTCAGTGACCTAGTGCCTGTGTGTTCTAAAGTGAAATAAAATGTTTTATTTTTGCTTCTTTCTAAAGTTGGACAATGGATTCACAATGGACATGCGATAATTTCTGCAAATGGAATTTAATGTGATTTATATAGTAATAAAGGAGCCCTCGTGGCACAATGTGCTCAGCTGCTAACTGAAGGTCAGCAGTTTAAACCCACCAGCTGCTCCATGGGAGAAAGGTGTGGCAGTCTGCTTCGGTAAAGATTACAGCCTTGGAAATCCTAGGAGGCAGTTCTACTCTGTCCTACAGAATGCTATGAGTCAGGATCAACTCAAAGGCAGTGGGTTTCATTTAGTTGTATGATAGTAACAGGATTCCAATTAGAGAATATTCTAAAATAGGCTGTTTTTCTTCTCTTTCTCCTTTTCTACAACTCTCCCCTTTTTTTCCCCTTCTGAGGAGATATCAATTTACATCAAAAGGGGTTTTCTTTGTTTCACTTTGCAAATTTACATGAGTAAATTTGCAAACTAGAATACTATATCAGAGCACCACAGTATGTAAAGCAAGAAAATTTGTTCCAGAAAGAGAAATGTGTATGTCTGTTTAAGTGTGAATATATGAACGTGTGTGTGTGGTGTGTATG